AAAAAAAGCTAGACAGAAAAGCAGGCAAGCAGAATGAAAAAGCATTTGAAGCCAACAGGAACATGGTAGAGTGGTTAATCAAAGCAGGCATATTTAAAGTTTTCTTCACAGTCACAGACAGAAGTCGTGCACAGGGGGTCAGAGGTGACATTTCTGGATAAAGATATGTAAGGAAAGAAGAGCAGTAGAAGCTGGTCAGAACAGGTAATGACACTCATATGGGATGGTAGCATTAGAAGAAAATTCTGTCTGTCAAGACGTCCAACACCAACCATGCAGAACCTCTATGAAATTGCATAAATAGAAGGGGGAATAAAAAAACAAACAAAAAAAACAAACCTGTTAAATTTATTCTTTAAAAGCAAACAAAAACAAATATCTTCCTTTCAAATCTGCAGCTTCCTGCAGTGTTTTTGCTGAATTGTTATATTGAATATACATGAACAAAACAGCCAGGGTAACATAAAATCAGTTAGCCAATCCAGCAGAGATGCTGAAAAGGCAGACAGAAGACAGCACAGTACTACAGTCATTGTTATAGCCTCTTTTTCTTTAAAAATAAAAGCATCTCCAACTTTCCAGCAGCTCTGAACACACATAGAAGCAGCAGCGTGTTCCCAACATACATGTAGCCTTTAACTGTTGGATATAAAATGCGATTACTGTCCGATATTTCAGGCTGAGCCAAGTACAATTAGAATTTATTATAAGGTAAGAAAACGAAAGAAAGCAAATGTGTTTGAGCCATCCACCATGACTGTATGTGTCAGTACCACTGAGTAGTAATTCTATGTAACAAACTTGCATTGAGCCACTGTGACGCTGCAAGACTGGGAGACTGGCAAACCAGCAACTAGGTTAGAAAATTCTGTTCATTTAAATAAATAAATAGATAAATAAAGCTGATCTGTCAGACCCATCTGCAAGGTCCACGAGAGGGTGTGCGTAAACATTCAGCTCTGTTACCCAAGGTTACCCTACAGTAAACTGTGCCCTTAACAGGAAACACTTTGCCCCATACTGGCTCTGACAGCAACTCAAACAAGCCGAACCAGCAATGCTAAGAGAAACACGGCTCAGTTACAAATGAAAGAACTATAAAAGTAATGAAACAATTATATTACAGCTTCTTGCCTCTGAGCTGTTTTATCACAGTTACAAAATCTATTGTGACAGCGTTTTTGGGCCCAGCCCAAACTGAGCAGGGTCTACAGGAGCTGGACTGCTGCTACTGTATTTGTTTTATGAAGTTAATTGAGACACTTAAAAAAAAAAGAAAAGAAAAGAAAAGGGCTAATACATTCATGTAGACTTTTCTTCATTCAGCTCTCGTGGTTGGTTTGGAACAAACTGACAGAGACAGAAGGCGAGAATGAGACTGTTTTACCCACTGGTCCCAAACAAACACCTGCAGTCATTTAGAGACTAAGGCAGGATGGAAAAGGTTAAATGATGGCAATGAAAGACAGGAGGAAATAAGGATAAGAGAAGTCATTTGTCATGCTCCACAGTCCTCTTATAATGACATATTTCATCCCAAAGAGCAGCCTAACACTTTTCAAGGAACACGGAGTTGAGACCAGCACCTCTCCTCACTGTGCTCAGAGTGGGGAAATGAATTCACTGGTGCTCCACTTTCATGGGTAAATGTGCTTATCCAGTAGAAAAATGAAAATAAAATAAAATCTCTCAAACACACTTCAATAGTTTTGACTCTTCCTGGTGTTTCACTTCCTATCACAGTGTCTTTTTGTGCACATCAACAACTGTTTACATTTCACGTTTTTAAGAGTTAGAAGGTCTAGAACAGATATAAAGGCACATAACCGTAAACGGGTCTTGAATGATGTTGAGCTACTGCTGCCATAGCCAATTCAGTTCCACGGTGCGCCTGGGTGCTCATGGGAAATGTGGTTCTTTGGGATGTGGTAAGACCTCTTCTGTCTGTCGTGTCCGCTACCGTGTAGTGTGTGCACAGGTGTGAGCAGATAATTGTGTAAAGGTGACGTGTGAGGATTCAGACATGTCCTGTGACGGCTGTCACCCCGATGGTCCCGACACTCATCTCCTTGTTTCCCTTCATAAGCTGCTGCAGGCTGGGCAGAGAACCAACGCTCCCCACTGGCATGTGCGGGAACTGCAGCTCGGTCTGGCGAGACTTCCGCCGCTTCGTTGAGCGCTTCTCCTGACGGGACTTCGCAACCGGCTGGCCGAGGGGGAAAGAAAGGCCGTGGCCGTTGCACACGCCATCAGCGGGGAAGACGGGAGAGGGAGGGGGGAGCCGGCTGGCGTACGACTCCTCAGAATGGGTGGACGAGCTGCAGCTGCTAGTCTCTGAGGGGAACTCCTTAGAGGCGCGACGGGGCAATAATGGGCCCTCCTGGGGTGTTGAAGGGGGAGGAGGCAAGGGAGGAGGAGGTGGAGGTGGAGGAGGAAGAGGTAGGGGGCGTGTCGAGGATGGTGGCGCAGGGAGACACGGGTGGAAGCTGTTAAACTTGGGATCCCCGTTAGTGAGGAGAGCAGAAGGATCGAATGCCTTCAGAGTCTCAACTTTGTCCAAAGACTTTGCCTTGCAGCGTTTTTTCTGCAAGGTAAACATAAGAGGTGGAGAAATTACTTAAGAAAGATCAGCAGAAAACTAAACAACTAATAACGTTAAGTCACAAACAATAGTCGGAGGAGGGTGGGAAAGTTCAAAAGGGAATGATGGAAATGAGGAAAAGAAAAACATACTACTCAATCTGCTTATCTAAAAATATTAAAAACTTGAGGCGAATAAAGCTGGCAGTAAACACACACACACACACACACACACACACACACACACACACACACACACACAGTTGCTAATAGGTATTTCGCCAATTCTTTCACTGCTCAGCTGATACCTCATCTCATTTACTCCACAAAATAAAGAATTCCCTTTTCTAAAAACAGACGTATTAGAAAGACTCATTGAGACGAGAAAACACAGTACTTGTATACGACGGCCATCACAGCCAACAGACACTGTACCTTTTTCTCTGGAGAAAACCTTAGAGGTTCTACAATGTACAAGTCATCTGGACCTACTGGGGAGGGGAGAAAGGGGCTTGGTTAATGATGGAATGGGAAACAGGAATACGTACATGTAATAAGCATGAAGTGACCTTGCAAGTAGTTTTAAAGATGAAAAGGCATAAATCCATATTGTAGCAATAGCTTGTTGTTAAAACAAGATTTGAAATCATAGAAAAGCAGGTGTTGTTTTTATTAAGGAATACTACTTGCAAATGTCTACCATGAGCCAGCAAAGCATTGTGCTCTATTATTACACTCCTTATGCCTGCATGTGGCAAGCTGGCAATGACAGCCTCCCACCCTCAAGGGCAAACTCTCTCTCTCTCACACACGCATGCACGTCATTAGGGGGTAATGAACAGCAGCGGGAGTTTAAGGTTTCAAGAGCTGATACTTTTATTGCTTGCACCAGCTTTTCCTTGTGGGCGTGTGTTGCTTTAGGCAGTGGCAACAAGAGGGATATCAGTCACTAAACCTGGCAAAATGTCTTAAAGCAACAGCAAAGATACAAAGAGTGAGCGATGGAGAGAATGGAGCAAGGCTAAGTAGTGTTTGGATGGGGAGAGATATGTGGCAATAGCCGCAGTGATCAAAAGCAGTTAGCCTGAAAGTGCCCAAAGGCAAGATTACATGATGTTTGCAGCGTGACTGTAGTGTCAGATCTCAATGCTGCTTATGTTTCAGTTGGAAAAACAAAGGGAGGAAACATATGGGTAAAACAAAAGTGTGTTGGAGGAGAGATTTTTGAAAAGTGAACGGGCACGTAGGAAGAAGACCTCTTACCTTCTGTAGAGGACAGGTGAAACGACTTGGAGCGAACAAGCGGGCAGGTCACCCTGCGCTTCAGGCTCATGTCATCGTAAGAGGAGAAGCATCTGATAAGGGAGGGAAAAATGATTGACATTTACAAGATACCACATTCATTCCTTGATTGTCAATCTTTCTACAGTTAGTAGCAAGACGGGAATGACAGCAACTGACAGACAACAGCTTCAGTATTCAGTCTAATACGAAAACACTGAACAAATGTCATAGCATAGCTTCAGAAATAAAATATCCTATTCATGCATGTGGGTGACAAACCTCTTGGGGCTGGGGTAGTGGTTGCTCTTGGGAAGAGCAGTGGAGTTGGTGCTGGGGCCGGGGGTCGAGCTGCGGCAGCACTGCAGACACAGCAGGATCCCCAGAAATAGACACAGAATCAGAGAGACCACCAGGTAGCTCTGACGGTCCGATACCTGCAGAGGACGATTTCAGCAGTCAACAGTGAAACAATGCACAACACATCACAAACATTCAACAGCTACGTCGACTTATGATACCGTGAGTGGTCCTTTTCCCCAGTTGTGATGTTTTGCACCATGTCCTCCGTGACCTTACTCCAAAAGCACTTTTAGTTTGGCCTAAACACTGTATGCAAAAGGCCCAGTGAATTTTAAAAAAAAGAGAGAAAGAAAGAAAAACCAGGACAAACTACCCACAAATTGTTATTCTAAAAAGGATATACAAACTTTATCCTCTATCCTTTTTAATATAACTGCATTTAATCCATGTGGGCTCAGAAAATGTGTCTCGGTGAAAAGTCAAAGCCAAACAGTCAGGTCAGAAAAATGTCAGGTCAGAAAAATGTTTTCCACTCAAGTCAAACTCTGCAAGTGATTTGGAAGAAGCAAAATACTTTAAATAAACAAAAAACAACAAAACAAAAAAGTTAAAACAATACATGATGGCCATGAATATTAAGGTTTCACACAGACACTATACTTATGTGAAAGAAACTACAAAAAAAAACAAAAAAACAAAAAACAAACAAAAAAAACCCCACAATTTTTTAAAATTGTCTGTTTATCTACTTATAAACAAACTTGTAAGTTAAATTAATGTTATATTCCATTATACTTAATTTCACCTCTAGTTACTGGCTGGTATCTGGCATACTCCATTTCAGATGGATTTCAAGGTCCTGACTACTAAAATCATTACTCCGAACATAAAAATCAAACCTGGACTATATCTGGAACAGCAAGAGAGCTGACAACAGATGGTGTTTAAACTACATTATGTTAATGAGCCAGAAGCATCAGGTTCTATTTCCAACAGGAAGAATAAATCTTTCTCCGAACACAAGCAACAAGGTTTTAAGCCCAAAACAAAAAGACAATTCTGTTAAAAACTAAGCAATAGATAGTCTACTCAGCAATCAACGATAGCAATATACCTCTCTCTGCAGCTCGCTGACTGTAGCTGTGAGATTGAGCATCAGTTTAGTGACGTTTTCCAACTGACTCTGCAGGACTTGGATGGACTCTGTCTGCTTCTGGTCCTGAAAATATACAAAAAAAAAAAAGATATTACTCAGCACAGCTGCTCAGGTGTCAGTAGATGGAGTAAATGCGACTCTTAACTGCAAACATATTTTACTGTGATTTAAGATGATTAATGCAATGAGACCTGTTCCTCAGCAATACGGGAGGTGTTTTGCAGCTTGATGATGGTCTTATTGAACGCTTTCTGCATCTCTTCCATCTGTTTACGATATCTGGAAATCACAGATACATATAAATAACTTCTAATAATCTCTCCCAGATTGCAAATATCTGAAACAAATTAGGGCAGTAAAATCTGCTTTTTTTTTGCAGTTTAGATTTGAAAAGTTCAACATGGCCAGTGGTTTCACCTCTGGCTGAGTTCCTCCAAGTATCTGCTGGACAGACTCATGTTCATCTCCAGAGCTTTGATCCTGTTGTTCAGCCTCATGAACACACTCTCTTTCTGGCTGGATCCGTGGACTGCGCCTCCGTTAACTAACACGCTGTTCCCATTCACTGCTCCACCATTATAATCTCCACCGTTCTGCAGCTCTGCATAGAAGTCTGTAGCCGTCCGCTGAGCGTTGCCATTCCCACTAGCACTCAGCAGTTCCTCTTCTACGGCCTCTTCCATCCGATGAGGCTCTCCTGTCTGAGGAAGTGAATCAGCCTGCTCCCCGTGGGTCTGGGAAGCCTGAACATTTTGTCTCTGCGAGTCCCCGCTGTCTACGCCTGACTTAACTGAGTCTGTGTGAATGTCATTTGAAGGCAAAGCTGCTGGCAGCTCAGTGGGAGGGGAGATAAAATCCTCAGGTCTTGAAGCAGTGGGAAGAGGCTGAACAGGCTGATCTTTGACAGGAGGAACCGTGACGACAGGAGAAGCCGTCTCAGAAGATGGAGATAACGGGGGAGTGCTGGCAGAAAGCGTGGGGGTGACGCTGCTGGCGTGCTGCGTCTTTGGGATAGAGACAGCTTGGAGGGGAGGAGTGGGGACAGGATCTAGGGTTGCGTCTTTAATTAAAGGTAACAAGCTCTCCTTAGGGGTTGGGGTAGGCTGTGTTAGGGAGCTGTGGCTGTCTGAGAAACTCTGAGGGGGGATGGTGGAGGTTCTGCTTGGCTCTAGGAGGATGTTGAGCTCGGGAGTGTATGAATCAGGTGTGTCAGTGCTGAGAGGCGTGTCAGTGGTGTACTCCTCACTGAGAGCTTTGCACTCATTTTGCCCCTTCTCAGGCACCTCGAGTTCTGGAGCTTTTTCTGTGAGAGGGAGGGGTTCTTGGATAGGTGTGGGGGCAGGAATAGGAATCAGTGGAGGTGTGTGTGTGAGGACAGGTGTGCTCACAGTAGGGTGAGTCTGTGTTTGAGTGCTAAGCTGCCTCTTCTTAAGGCTGCGCAGTCTCTCCTTGGCCAGCCTGGCGGAGCACCAGCGATGGAGCAGCTCAGGCAGGGTGACCATGCAAGACAGAGAGAGGGAGGAGAAGGAGGTGAAAGGACAGTAAGCCTGGCTCTCCCACTGGTTCCTGTCTGCCTCCTTCCTCATCTCCTCCTCGCTCTTTTCCCCTTCTTCATCATCCTCTCCCTCCTCCTCCAATAGAGTAACAGTTGACAGTCTGATCTCCTCATCCTCTTCCTCCTCCTCTACTAGAGTGACAATCTGATCCACATCCTTATGTGGATCAGATGATGAGTGGGAAGATGTGGAGGAGTCACTAGAGACGGAGACCTCTTCTGTTGTAGGTTGTTCTGGCTTTGAAGGTTGCAGTCTGAAGAAAAGAAAAAACAAAAACATGCTTTCTGTGGGATTTGAAAAGCTCATCACGTGGAACTGAATTCAATTTAAATTAATAAAGGTTTATCTCTGATGGCTCTTACACTGTGTCTAGGGCCTCAGTTGGTTTAGCTGACTCTGTGCTCTCCTTTTCACCCCCCTCTGTTGTTGCGTTACCTGGGGGTTGGAGAAACGCACAACAATTAACAAACACAGCACAGCAATAACACTTGGCTACTGTTTATAAGATTGCGTAGAACCCTCTAACTTGGCAGTGGCTCGTTTCTTTCCACCCTCCTGTAGGAGGGACAGTGTAGGTGCACAGTCCCTCCAGGCTGGAATGCCCATGTTTAGGCAAAGGGAGAAACGCTGTGAACCAGTCTGTTCCAGTTTGAACTGATTGTGTCTCTCCCAAATTCTGCCTCACTCAGTGGGTGTAAATGGGAATAAAAACAGCCACTGTAGAGAGCAAGCAGTAAAAAGACACTATAGAGTTGTGCTAATAATTGAAAGGATGAATTTGTGGGTTTTTTTATCAGTTGTCATAACCAACAGGTCTAAAAAAAATACATTTTTAAAAGCATAAAGAAACATAAGAGCCAAATCTGTTAATAGATTCCTCCCCTCTTTAATTCAACCCCACTAGAGAAAAGTTGTCTAAGGAGTCATTTTGACAGCGCTCTGTGTGGTAGACAGAACTAGAAGAAAGCTCAGCGTCATAGGCCTAACTCTGTCTTAATATAGCTGAGCTCCTTGCCAAGAAGAACTGAAACAAAGATAGCCAAAGTTCTGCTGAAATACTGCTAGGGACCTCCTGCCAAGAGCCAAGTAAACATCTGGCTCTCTTAGCACATATACACATGAACATTCAGTCTATGCATATGTTTGCACTTTAGCCAAGGAAATAAAGTGACCCAGTTTTTGAAGCAGTTAATCTAAACAAGATGTGGAAAGACAGGCTGGCTGGAGAACGCGAGGAAAAAGGCAGTCACACAGTAAGAGCAGAGTACAGCAGTGAAAACACAGCGTTAAAGTTTGCTTTATAAGTGTTAAATACATTTGAAATTATTTTTTTAAAGGGATTTCATAAGATAATGCTGTACTGTCTATAGAAGAAGCACAACAATAATTTGCTTTCACATTAAGGAAGTTTTCATTTAAACCTCAGGAAGGTGTGATTATGTAATATGGACGTTTCCTAACCGGAATTTCCAATTAGTTTTTCACACATGAAAGCACGCACCTTCACAAAACAAAACCTGTTGGATGGATGATTCATGCTCAACAATCTCAGTAAAAGTCTTTTATAGTGCCAACTCGGAAATGCCTGCTCCATAACACTTCATACAGATAGACCAGTCATATTACCTCGAGCTAAGGTGTGGGAGCAACATGCAACAGAATTCAACTCAAGGTCTTTTCTAACAGAGGGGAATATGTGAAGAGGCTGAGCCATCAATGTCAGAATGCTGATTAAATCTGACCTGCAGAGGTGGATCAAGCATCTCTTAGTATCAAGTAGTTTGCGAAACACGAGTACTAGACCATTTTTACATGTACATTACACACATAAAAAAAAAAGTGCCCCTAATCAGCATGTGTAACGTTCTCCTGGCAATCTGTAGTTTAAATTTGTAATTTACTTTAACTTTTAAAGAGACAGTAACAGATCACCTAAATGTGATGTCTATAAAACAGGAAACTTGAGTTTATCAGCTCTTTATTGGCAGTTGAATGGGAAGCCAAACAAATTTTAGCTTATGTTACACTTGTGCATGGATGTGTTTATACTTTGGCTTACACTTATGCTTAGAGCAGTGCAAATATAAGTTAGTTCAGTGCCCATTTGGGCTAACCCCAAAATCAGTATGAATGGATTTATTTTGAGGTTATTTTTTTAAGAAAATTAAAAATGAAGCAATATAAATAAATCTAAGATACTCTGATGAATGTAAGATGGCTGAAAACGTTGACTTGTGCATGGTGTACTGTTCAAGTGTTGCATGTGAAAATGTGATGGTAGGGGGAAAAAAAAAAAAAACGGAAAGTAAACTTTTAAAAAGGTCTAAAAAGTGGCCTCTGAGAAATCAGTACCTCCCGTTTCTGCTCCACTCTCCAGCTCTGGCTTTCCTCCCAGCACATTAGCAGCAATGTTGTTTACCATGTTTAGGATGGCATCTAAAAACAAAAACAAAGAAGAAGAACATCCACGCAATGCATTTATTTTCCATGACATGAGATTTCTGACTGACAGTAGCTTCAGGCCAAACACACATCAAAGCCAAACGACATATTGTGCCATATGTTTTTGCTTTATTTTCTTAAACATTCTCTCTGATGACTGTATTCTCCTTCTATATTATGTCCCCTGGATTTACTGTCATGAGTTTTATTTTAAGCCTTTCCTCCAGGGTCCATCCACTCTGAAGCCCTTTTATGGTTTATGGTTAGAGCTCTGAGACTTGTGTGCACGGTACATTTTCAGGGGTGCACCGTTCCCCTCCTTCGCTAACTCAGGAGACAGAAGGGCACCAGTGTATTTGTGCATGTGTGTGTGGTTTCCGGGAAAAAATAAAAAAAATAAAGCCAAGCAGCAAAATTTACGCAACCCAAAAAGCCCACAGGATACCAAGTGGGTTAAAATACTTCAAGTTGAACAGTATGTGAATGAGTTCATACCCAACAGGCCATAAAGTTGGCTGCTGTACCAACAACTGTATGAGGTCTGAGATAATTTAAAAAACTGTGTGCGCTATGACTGGATACAACAGTATTAAAGCCAAACTTGCACAAATCATAAAATAGTTCTTCTTTAACATAGGATGGAAACACCAGATTACTGTAGCTGCAGTTTGATGACATGTAACGAAACATTTTCATTAACATTTTTCATGACAGTTGACACATTTTCTTATTCCTTTTTTAAATTCGATCAGGTAGGGCTGTCCGCTTTTGTGCTGAAGCCATCTGACCAACAGCAAAAGCTCGGCCCAAACTGGGTTACGTTACAGGAATATAAGATACAGAGCACAGCAGCAAATAT